CTAAATCAAATCTTTATATCTATGGATAAATTTAGTCGTGAAAGGTTTTAAGTAATTTGTGGTAACGAAATCCCTGAATTAATAATTTACCAGTAATACATAGATTATGTTCATTGAAATTCAAAACGTTACAACAGACACGGGCATAGCAAACGAGTTGTGTTATATAAACACCGTAAGATGGTGCCAAAGTAACATCACCGTCCAAAAAAGGAAAATTAACAATAGGGACCGAAAAATCGTCCCTTTTGTCGTAAATTTTAGTGTAGAGTTTCCCGTGTAAAACTGAAATATCATAATCTAGGAAAGGACAGTTATTACCGTTTATATTTGATTTATTTAAAGTAAGTTCCTTTGAGTAAATTTCGGCAGTAGATTTAGAAAATTCTTGATTATTTAACGAAAAAATGTCATCAAGATAGCGGTAAATGTTGTTGAATTTATCAATTAAATGCAATTTCGACGGGTATTTACTGAGTTTGGTCATAAACTGTGATTCATAACAGTACAAGATCAAGTCTGCTATTAAAGGGGCACAATTGGTGCCCATAGGTATACTTGCAACCTGCCGATAAACTGTATTGCCGAAACGTACATAAATGTTATCAAGGAGAAAATTAACTGCTTCAATCATCTCATCACACCTTCAGTAAGTATATCTAGCAGATTTACCTTTCTCATTAGCGAGGAAGGCTAGCTTTAAATGAGTTGCAGCAAATATATAAGCATTCAGATTTACCAAACGACCATTTAATTACATAGACAAACTTTTGTTTGATAAGATTGTGTGGAAGTGTAGTGTAAAGAGTTGAAAAGTCAAAACTGTCAACAGAATCAAAAGGACCATCAAAAGCACGTAATTTATCTAAAACATCCAAAGATTTTTTACACTCCAAAAATAGTTAATTCCACTATTTTCATATATTTTATTACAAAAGTTCCTTGATGGTAGTTAAGGAACTAGTTAAAAGCACTATTAGTTGCAGAATACTTACTAGAGGCCGAGATGAAACGATATTTTACTGGGTTTTTTTGTGTGTAGTTTGGGTAACCAATACATAGTACAGACCTTCAAATGTTCAGAAGAGGCCTTAAGCTGTGATGTGGTTATGATATGTAAGATGACTCTCTGTGCAGCGCACATGCACACTTGACTGTAGAAGAATTTAAATTTTCATTCTTAAGAACGTCCATGTTGAACTTATATTTGGAATGAGGTTTTTAAACACGTGAATATCCTTGAAGGAGTGGTGTATTTTGTTTTCTTGTTATTTCGTAAAATCTAAGATATCTTTTTAACTTCAAAGTAAATAAGATATCACATAAAGAATACTACGTATCATATTTTCTTTGCAAGATATATTATTCAATTTTTAAGATATTGTTTTTAGTTTACAAGATATCTTATTTAGTTTATAAGTCTTAGATATCTTTAAAACAAAAGAATATATAACTATCAGTTAAGATAAACACTTAAGATATCTTAAAACCTAAAGCAGATATTTCACAAAATATTAATTGAATTATTGATTGGTGTTTAATGCCACTTTCAGCTCGATTGTGCTATTTCTTGGCGGTAAGTTTTTATTGGTAAAGGGAGCCAGAGTGCCTGGAGATTACTACCGACCTTCTGCAGGAAAACTGACGATCCTAGTCAAAGAGGGATTAGAACTCACAACCTCCGTGTTAACAGGCTAGTGATACTGTAATTTGACTATTCTTTCTCTTGACTAGACCTCTCGGCCACCGAGGCCCCTTTAACAAACTAAATAAGTTATCTTTAAAAAATGTTTAATAAGATATCTCATTCAATATATAAGATATCATAATGAATTTAATTGTTGTTAGGGACAATTTTGTAACATTATATTCTCCTTCGCCATGCTCGTCCGAATTTAAAACATTTCTTTACTAAAATCCTTGGTAAGATAAATGAAACAAACCTCTAGGTAAAGGTTTAGTTTCTCGCAGTAACTTTTCTCTTTTCTATCAAACAATGTTTAATAACATTATAAAACAATATATTATAACAACAACATTCAAAATACAAACAAAATTATCAAATACATTTAAATGGACTGAAATCGAACTTAATATTGTAATCATACATTAATATGCAACAATAAACGGCAAACTGACTGTCGTAGTTACTGTGAGCACCTTTCGATGAAGTGACACCCAAAAATGTCTTTTTATAATATAACGGAACCCCACCTTTTAAACCGCCAAAGTATTTCACGTGCATATATTACCCATATATATTTATATCCAAAAACAAGAACCCGTTATACAACTACTCTCACTAACCAGTTTTGAACATATAAATAGTATAACTATAACACACGGAAAAACCCCAAGTCTAAACGAAAAAGAAATTCAAATATTGGAAATTTTACGAGTTTACCTAGTGTAATGCCATACGAATTGTGCCTGTTTATAATGCAAATGAAATGTTTTTTTAATAATATAATATAAAAATTTGAAAGCGAACTTCATATGTGTTTTTAATTGTTCGTAGTACTATATGCTGATGATACAGTCATTTTTTCAGAAACAAAAGAATGTTAGCAAAATTCCTTAGATATTTTCCAGTTGTACTGCGAAAATTGGAATCTGAAGGTGAATGTTGAGAAAACTAAAGTTATGGTATTTAGCAAAAAAATTATTTACTTGAAATTGTAGATACTTATTCGTATTTGGGTGTCATTTTCAAATATAATGGTGCATTTTTTTTTATACCAAACAGAAACTTGTAGATCAAGCCCATAAGGCACTGTTTTATATTTACAAAACAAATTATACGAAATGAATCAATACCCATTGATCTACAATTTAAACTTTTTATTTATTGAAAAGACTCACTTAAAATTCTGCAAAAGGGCGCTGAAAGTTAGAAACACTACGCCTTATTTTATGGTTTATGGCGAATTGGGTTGATTTCCTCTTGAGATAAAGGTGAAAGTTTGAAAGATGATTTTATATTGGTGTAAAATTGTTAACAGTGAACCAAAGCTGTGAAGTTCTGACTTCAAGGCTGACTTCATACAGGAACTTCTTAGGAAGAAAGAAAAGAAGTTAGCAATAGCCTTTAACTTTACTTTCCGTTATATAGATGATGTTCTCTCACTCAATAATTCAAAATTTGGTGACTATGTTGAACGCATCTATCCCATCGAACTTGAGATAAAGGATACAACAGATACAGTTAAGTCTGCCTCATAACTTGACTTAAGTCTATAAATTGACAATGAGGGTCGGTTGAAAACAAAAATTTACGTTAAAAGAGATGATTTCAGCTTCCCAATTGTGAACTTTCCATTTCTATGTAGCAATTTTCCAGCAGCGACTGCATACGGAGTAGATATCTCCCAGTTGATACGATATTCCAGGGCTTGTATTTCCTATCATGATTTCCTTGATAGAGTTGCTGCTCACAAGGAAGCTATTAAACCAAGAGTTCAAGTGGTAAAGTTGAAATCATCCCTTCGTAAATTTTACGGACGCTATCACGAGTTGGTTGACCGTTATGGAATATCCGTTTCACAGATGATAGCGGATGTGTTCCTAATGTCGTACGTGTAACTACAATCGATATCCCGTCCCCTTTTCCCGAATGTGACCTACCGAATTCGACTTATTACCGAGTTTGTACTAACATGAGCAAAACTACAAGTGTCACATGTGGAGCAGGATCTGCTTACCCTTCCGGAGCACCTGAGATCACCCCCAGTTTTTGGTGAGGTTCGTGTTTCTCAGTCTTTAGTTTTCTATGTTGTGATTTGTGTACTATTATTTGTCTGTTGGTCTTTTTCTTTTTTAGCCATGATGTTGTCAGTTTATTTTCGACTTATGAGTGTAAATGTCCCTTTGGTATCTTTCGCCTCTCTTTTATTGTATGGATTGATGATGGGCTTAATGCTTAAAACTCAATACACCTTTAAATGGTTTAAGAAGATATATTAAACAGTACTGGCATTGGATATAGTTTTGCCAATCAAACGGGCTATTGTGATAAAATGTACTCAAAACAAATACTTTGTGATCAGTATGTTTTGAAATGCTGGAATACATATTTGTATATTATTGTTATCTCTACATGATACATGTATATTATCGACACCACATGTTTACTTCTTCATGTGTATGTAATTCTATTAATTATGATCTCATGTTACACATGTATCTGTGTCTGAGTGTTCAAGTAAAATCTTGAAATCTAAAACGTTTGAGAAGGGGTCTAAACCGAACAGTCAATATAAAAAAAGAGATGTGGTATGATGGCCAATGAGACAACTATCCACCAAAGTTCAAATGAAGTGGATGTAAGCAATTATAGGCAACCGACATGAAAAATATGAAACAATTCAATTGAGAAAACTAACGGCCTAATTTATATCAAAACAATTTACGAAAAACAAATATGACAGACATAAACCAACGACAACCACTGAACTACAGGCTCCTGACTTGGGACACAAATAAAGAATGTGGCGGGATTAAACATGTTTGTGAGCGCTCAAACCCGTTTATGCATGGTTAAGTTTGATTGAAAACAAATTCAGTGGTGTAAAATCTCAATTCATATACCAAAGTATAAAGTTAATTGGTAGTCGAATGATCTGTATACATGTACATAACAGTCAAAAATTATACAGTAAAGCAGACTGTACACCAAGGAGTGATTTTAACACCAGTGTGAGTTGATGAAAATTAAATTATGAACTAATTCCATTCGTGAACAGATATCAGTAAATTAGCCAAAATAAAATAAAACAATAAAGGTGAACAATGATTACAATATACGATGTCTATATTTTCAGCAACAGATATAAGAAACGTTGCTTCTGGGGAAAGAAACCACGTTTAAGTAAATAGCTCAAATCACAGTTATGATAATAGTTTAAAACTAACTACGGGTAGCCATATATGTATAAAACCACACATAAATTTAAATCGATTTATAATATGCACTATTTATATAGATTTTTAAATGTACTAAATTTAGATAATGGTATAATCCAAAACAGAATCGAAACTGAAATAAGGTGAGGAAGATTTTTTGTTCAATTTCCACGTTATTTTTAGTAAATTTTGCTAACATAGTTGTCCTCTGAACTCTTAACAAAGTATAACGAAATTTGAAGCTATCAAAACATTGACAATTGCTCTTCATTCCCAATAATATACCTTTGCAAAACATTGAGGAAGTGGCTAAAAAACTTTTTTTTTTTTTGCATTTCTAACTTGGCTAAACAAATGTCATTTTCATTTTTTTTTTTCTAATCCAACAAACATGTATACTAGTGTAACACATATCTTTTGAAGACTTCTGGGTGTGGACGAACATTTTCAATGAGACTTTTCCCTTCCGGATGAGAAACTCTTTGGCATGCTAAAGAGGGGCGATCATTTTGCCTGTGCGGGATGTATAATACATACACAACCACGTTCGATAAGAGTGAGGATTTTTAAACTCAATGCCTAGTGCAGCAAAAATAGCGCACTCCTTCCTCATTAAAGAACCCTTTCAACAACTCTCTAATGAATCCGTAGAAGGGCTGCTGTAAAGAAGAATGTCTGTCCTTATCCAAAATATCCTTTATTTCTTATGACAATCAAAATACTCATTATTCATATCATATCGGTCAACCGACTTTTCGAATCTACCTATTATATTTATTGTTAACTTTTACCCATCTTCAACATACATGAAATATTAACCACTGGACGTTTGGCAAATAACAAGCAATCAATCTATTCCCTTGCTCTTTGTGTATTCAAGTCTAGAACCTTGCAATTGTCTTTAACAAATACATTTTGCCTGTCATCAATGCTGATACGTGTTTAGATTTCTAATAATATTGTGCTCTCAAATCTGACCGGTTATAAAAAGAAGAAAACAAAATACTATCATATGTTTGTCTAAATATGGTAGTGCCAGTGGTGGTTGACATGCTAGGTCATCGATCATGGTTTGTTATTGATATGACCAAACAAAGGAACAGATAATTGCTGAAAAGTTGAATGCATGTCATAAAAAAATCACGTTATGTTTAATGATAAATAAGTACTTAAGAATTACAACTAACACGGTATGGGCTTTGCTCATTATTGAAGGCCGTACGGTGACCTATAGTTGTTAATTTCTGTGTCATTTGGTCTCTTGTGAAGAGTTATCTCATTGGCAATCATACCACATCTTCTTTTTTATATAGACTGCAAATATTGGTCTTACACTCTCGGTAGGGACTTAGGAAGTTAACAAAAACAAGATAATACTTATTCTAGTGCTGTACTTAGAGAGGTTACTCAAAAATCGCAATACAGAAGCCAAACAAGAGAGACATTTAGTGTACGAACAACAAATTAAAAGACGAATAAGACATAAAATATATAGTAATATATATAATAATATATAATTTGGTAAATAAAGTTGCTCATGAAAGGTATTATCCAGATTCACTAATTTCACTGTTATTTCATAGTGATTGGACGAATAAATATTGCATAATACAAAGCTTTATTTCTAACAACATAAGAATCAAATAAGGTTCAAATCTGTATTTTACTAATCTTCACAGTCGTCCATTAAGTTAACTATATTAACCTGCACCAACTTCACACAGAGTATCTTTATAGACTATGTACTGATGTATATCCAGTTTCAAATTGTTTTATTCTAATCAAAACAAAAGTTATCAATCAACTGTATATTGTCTAATGCCATTAAGGTTTGATTTTGTAGATAAATGGGGAACAGCAGTAGTAGTGAAGATGAATCAGGTTCGTATGAACAATACATGTGTTTTTCAAATATTCAATGATCTTTATTTTTTTTACGTATATCGATTTTATAAAAATTGAAACCGAGGTTTCTTTTTCTGTTAGGATATCCAGCTTGCATTAATAATTTATAGAGCGTTTGCTAAAAAGTAACGAAAACTTCAGATACTATTTCAACTGATCCCTTAAGGAAGGATCAAAACAATCCCAAGTTTAGCCTAAGCAAGGGAAAATAAAATTTACACATTGGAATATTTTGTAACTGCAATGCATTTTTGTTATTCACCTTATAAGCATCATATATGCAACGTAAGCATGGTACATTGTATCCATGATAGAATGTAGTGAATTTTAGTTATTATTGTTGACTGAAAAATTCTCAAGTTTGATATTAAGCAAAGATCATACATTTGGAAACTTATAGAATTAAATATATCTCCAGCAGTACCATTGACACAGTGTATAGTAGTGCATGTACGTTTGTAATAAAATAGTGCAAGATACCAAGGCTAATTTGAGGTTATAGATATGGGGAATGTTTACTCATAAATACAACAGTGCTTGAAACAATACTTGTAAATTCAAAAGTCAAAGTTAGAACTCGGAAATGATGTTATTTATTCTACGTGCATACCGTCCTTAATTTCCCAGTAATGAATATCAAAATTGTTATGAAACTAATGTCCTTCAGGCAAAGATGACTTTAGATTAATTTCGCTAATCTTTTAAGGGCTTTTTTGGTCATTTAATAATGTAGTTCATAAAATAATCGGATATTAAGTCTTTTATTTTAAAATCTTATTCGTATGTCATTAATGATAATTTAAGAAGTCATTTCTTTTCTAATTAAAAGCAAAGGAAAATAAGAAAACAGAAGAAACACCACAGAAGAAACATAGGACTAGACGGACTCAAAGAAGAAAAAGATTTTTACAGATTGGCAAATTTTCAATAAGCGTGGTAAAAGGTTCCATTATTGATCAAACTGTAAGTAAACTCATTTATTTCATTTTGATATTCTTACTAAAACTATCAGACTTAGTTATTCTTGAAAGTAAGTCATTGAAGGAAATCAAAACGGTGTTCGTCATGCAAACATCAGGAACGTCTACAACTGTATCATTTATTTTTGCATATTAGACTTTGGTGGATTGTCATATTGTCAATCGTTTATGCATATGCATGGTCATTATGCGTTGATATGTAGAAATATATAACTCCTTACTTTTGTATATAGGTGATACTTTATTTGCGATAAGCGGGAATTTTCGTAAACGAATCAATAGAAATCGGATAAAAATATGTTTTCCATATTGATATTGTTTATAAGGTTCTTCCAAATTAATTGGATTTTGAATAAAGCATATTCATATAAAGAAAAGTCATATTCACCGAGCTTAACGTCACGTGCTTTTACAGGTATACTTATGTTATTTTTTTCACACGGAATATGAAATAACACTATATCAACTGTCTTTTGTTTCGATGAAAACGTACATTAAAATTTTATAATTGACTTTTGAAAAACTGATATTCACTTCGACTGTTGACCGAAAGGAATATCAGTTTTTCAAAAGTCAATTAAACTACATTAAGTATGTACCTCATTAAAAGAGAGTAATTGAATACATGTAATATGTTGTATATACAATTGAATAGTTCTTGTTGATTCCTATTAGAAAATAACCGTGATTAAATGAAAGCAGATATAGTGAGTGTCATGAGACAGCAAACATACAAAAAGAAAAGATATCTTTAACTTATGTTCTAACTTCTCTCAGGAAAAATGATTTTATTATTGTCCATCATCTTGACAGATTCCGAAAGGTCTTCAGCAAAACCAAAAATTAAATTCTGGCGTCAATTTAAGCTAACTATCTGGTATTCATCAATTATAACTGTTTATTATCATTTTGAAGGAATATATGCTAGAATGAATTAAAATTTGCCATAAAAGTGATCTTTTACTACAACCATACTTTTTGGACATTTTGTATCGGTCTTTTTACAATTGCGGATTGAATGATTTTCGGAAAGTGTTGCATATATCACACAATCTGTTGAAGAAACGAATCCCATCCTTTCGTGAATCTGAAACGTGTTCTCCAATCAGGTTCAGAGTATCGCATTTCCACACATGAACTCTTAAAGGTGCAGTACATTTGTTTATAAAAAGGATTGCTGAAATAATTAAGTTATTAATTTGTATCTGTTCTAAGTTTTCCGTCTGTAAAAACTGGAATCTGCTTTTAACAACCTTTAATTTTGATTGATTATACTGGTTCACAATTATTTAGGAATCATGAAAAAGACTTTTCTTGGTACCTTAAGTTAATTTCAATCTGCAGTATCGTGCAAATGGTTTACTGGAAACACTGTTTTTACTTTTACCTTATTCCTTACTCTTTACATTCCACGTATTTTACAATTATTGATGATATTAAAACAATTTAACTTTCAAAAGTTGAAGACAGTCTTTGTTATTTATAAAGTCATGGTTCATGATGATATTCAAATTATGTACGTTGCATGCATGTAGACTGATGTAATTGTGACTGGATCTGTACCAAGTCTGGAACTGAATAAAACCAGGACATCTAAACTATTACTAGACAAAGCAGGTGATTCCATACAAGACGAATGCAAAGAAAAATACCCATCAGGCATCACATGCTCTGATGTAGCCATTACCGGACCCGGGCGTCTAGATTGCCAACATATATTCCATGTGACAGTCCAGAAATTTTCTAGTAAAGGGGATGAAAAGGTATGTATATAAGAAACTGTATCCCGCCTCCTGTTATTGAGCCTCTCCCAAGTCAGGTACCTTAATATTTATTTATGCAATGAAAAGGTAAGCCTTTTTTTTCATTTAGGATTGTTAATATATTTCATATTAATTATTGTTGCATTACCTCATCGCAAAAGATCATTATTTTTCTTTAAATTACCGAAAACTTTTAAAATTTTTGTCTAAGCAAGAATGACTATAGATCTTTAAAATGATGCAATTGAAGCATTTTCATTTTACTACAGAATTTAGAGACATGTATAATGAACTGCTTAGCAAAGGCTGATAGACTTGGAATGACATCCATAGCATTCCCAGCCTTAGGAACCGGCTTCCTAGGATATCCACCAAAATTGGTCGCAGCTGCAATGTTTCATGCTGTTGAGAATTTTGACAAGGCTCACACAAAAGCATCCTTAAAAATTATCAATTGTGTAATGTTTGTAGACGACACATTTAAGGTAAGGAAAGTTTAACCACAATTACACTATGCTAAGTCGAATAACACATATGCCAACGATGCTTTTCACCGTTGATACGACATGTTACTGTTTTAGTTTTCTTCTGCATACTTATGAACGATTTAACGTATTGTATTATGATGAGCGTCAGTGTTTCAATGTCCTGTATAATATTCATATTTTCAAGAATAAATATTCATACCTTCAGTGTGTCATGCAGTAAAAATGAATGTTTTGTTATTTCTTGAAGTTATTAGAGAGCTAAAATGTACAGTATATGTTTAAATGAACATCATAATTCAATAGAGGTTTTTTTTATAATAAAAAAATACTTTAGTATATCGCTACTCTCAAGTCAGCATGAATTAATGTATTGGTTATGCATGCTTAAAATTGCTGCATGGTATCATATACATTTGTTATTGTATAGAAACGGATAAACACAAACCCACCAGTAAAAACACAATTATATATTGAAAAAAAAAATTTTGTTTTACAGGAAATTTTGTCAGAAGCAAAAGTTAGAGCAACTAGCAAAGGTAATTGCAAAGCAAAATGTTCATGGTACCGCACTTAATTTTTTAAAATATCGCTGTGATGTATGAGGATGGGGCAAAGTGGGAGTCAGAAATTATTTAAGAATTCAATGTAAATTTAATGCTAACAATTAATTTGGCTGTAACCGAAGCAGAGTTGACCAAAGCACATCTAGTATAGAGAGCGGAACCACACAGTGCAAACATTCAATACTTTAATTTTCCTATAAAGCTACAGAAAGAGGCATTTTCTTATAATTATATTATGTTAATGTTGTACATGTAACCATGAAATTGAGGTTCCAGTTTGATTGTTTTGCATATTTCTGTGAATTATTATGACATTGTCAGGAAGAGCACAAGCGGTCATGGATGTTGTGTTTTATTGGGATACAAAACAATCCTTTAAAACACCATTTTATGTCTCAGTAGTAACTCGTCACTGTGCAGAACTGATGGGATAAAGTTTTTTATTTTTATTTGTTATTTGTGATTTCTATTTATTATAGTATTTTTAGATAAATGCTTCTGTACATACAATTTACTTAAACTGTTTATAATACCCATAAAATAACTATCTGAACATTTATATTTCTAATGTATTAGAGGTAACATAACATAACATAACAAATCATTACATAACATTACAAATCATTACATAACATAAAATAACATAGCATAACATAACATACGTACATAATATAACATAACATAACAACATAACATAACATAACACAACATACTATAGCATAATATAATTGATATCAAATTTATATCCAAAGCTATATAGACACACGAGTAATGAAGAATGTTAATTACGTTTTATCAATAAAATTTTACGTTTGTTAGGTCTTGAAGAATTGTCATTAGTGACGCGTGCATCATGCAGCAGTAATGTGGGGAAGATTCATATAAGTGTTATAGTGGACACAATAACGAGTCAGACGGTAAGTTATGTAAAAAGTGCCAAATTATGATGATAAACATTTTCTTAAGCGGTTTAAATGATTGACAGCTTAAAATCCGGAAATAAACACTTCTTTACATAGTTTTGGTGTCTCATGTCAGTTTTTTTTTTTTTTTTAGTGTAAACACATATTATTAATTAAATTCAGGTTAAGTAATGTACACTAATTGGCATTTACATATTAATACAAGTGAATAGAAACAAGCTGTTAGCTTATATTAATCCGTTTCCTTATGTCAGTTTGAACTAGCAAGATATATTTAAAAAAATAATTGATCATTTTGCAATAACGAGTTTTTTAATGGTCCAAAGCAGTTTATTTCCACTTCAAAATCAATTCTTAGTTTCCTTTTTTATTATATCTACTTGCAAGTGTAATGACTTGTGTTAAAGACTTGATACTAGGTGATAAAAATATATGAAGATGGAATCATAACAGTCAGTGCCGATCATTTCCAAAATGAAGTCTAGAAACACTATGCTCCAATTGGAGGATACATTTTTAATCATTCAGTTTAGTACCGTGTAGAGGAAAGAAAATGTGTACATTTTGGCAAAAGAAAGTTTAGTTTGATCCGTTCAGCCAGTTTGGGTTTTTAGGTACTCGTAAATGGTTTATATATTTGTCTTCCTAAACGACTAGCCCAAGTTACCTCATGAAATAATAATTATATAAAAATTATGATCATAGACAAATTGTAAACTAATCAATAATTATATAAAAATTATTATTTTTATTGTAATCATTATCACATTAGTAGGGTATATAGAGGTTTTTTTTCATTTTAGGCAGACGTGATTGTTTGCACTTGCGCACCGAATCTGAAGCTATGTTCACGGCCTGGTTTGCCTAAAAATTTAGCTGAAACTGCAGGATCCGTTATCCAGTCAGAACTTGACAGGAGATATCCAAATGGTATGAAAGTCGGAGATTTAGTTGTTACAAATGGTTACAATCTAAAGTGCAGAAAAGTGTACTTTGGTTGCTTATCTCCTTTCTTTGGTAAAAAGAAAGAAGACCAGTTACCTGAACAGGTGATTATCAATATTTGTTTTTTTCTTAACCCAAAACTTATCTTCTTAATTTTTTTTTCTCTAGAGTAAGATTTAATCGTAAAGCACTTTAAAAAGATCTCGAAAGTTTTCATTTGATATGTTGGGTTAGAAATAAGAATTTCAATCTTACAGAATTTGTTTGTCATAAGAAATTTAAAATTTAATCGGTAGAATTGTGTTGTATTCTCAACATACCAATGGTGGACGGGAACCGTTCGGAAATGTTATTTATTCTTCACTTACTTTAATGGTGGTATAATTGTATTCCTTGAAATAACAGAAATACCCACACATGAAACAGTAAATTATTTTCATTCTGTATTAATCTATTTTCAAATTAGTTTTGTACCTATGATATTATCTAGATATAAATTTACATGGTTTGATTATTTTTTTACTCCCACGCAAGTGTAAGAAATTTGTCTTCAAATTTTGAGAAATTACATTTTTCTTCAAGGTCCTGTACAGTTTTGTATACAAATGTTTAGCATCTGCAAGCAAGCATCATTGTAAATCATTAACCTTTCCGGCATTGGGAACAGGTTATCTAAAATTTCCACCAGATCTAGCTGCTTCCAAAGTTATTCAGGCCATTAAAGATTTCCATAACAAAGAGCAGCTAACATCACTAAGAGAAGTCAAGATAGTAATTTTTGGTGGCACCAATGACTGGGCAAAAATAGAAAAGGTATATCAGTCATTTTAACATTCAGAGTAGGACATTTTCTCAATATAATTTTTACTTAGTGTGCTAGTGACCTAATACGATATATGTGGGGTCAATAAATTTCATATGGGGTGAGAGCGAATATGGGGTCAGTAAATTTCATATGGGGTGAGAGCGAAGCTCGAATCCCCATATGGAATTTACTGACCACATATATATCGTATTAGGTCACTAGCACACTAATATAAATATAAATTTACATGCTTTGATTCTCTTTTACTCTCATGCAAGCGTAAGTAATTTGTCTTCAAATTTTGAGAAATTACATTTTTCCTCAAGGTCACTAGCACACTGTATACAAATGTAACGAATTTATCTTACCGGCTATCTTAACATGTGGTATTTAGACTAGTGGCCTATCAAAGTGATTAAGTCTTCAATGCCAACAATACTCTGCCTAATGGAGGAGATATCAAATCTTATAGCAGTCCGCTGACATTGAAAAATCAAACTAAACAAACAAACAAGAAAAAAGCTATAAGAATTGATCAGCACTAAACTACAGTCCTATTGCGGAATTGTAACTCGCATTTCGTCTGATAAATTTTTTGCCCCAATAATCACAATCGTATAATTGTCGACAATTTCCCGCCGTTTGCATTCAATATAGCAATTTGAGTTATACATGTATGTACTTCAGTTTTGAGTAAAACTGTGTAAATCCCTTACAAACTTTTTCTAAAACCCTTTAACGAGATGAAAGTATCCCTCCCAAAAAACTCAAAACGTACAAACAAACAAAAACAAAAAAAGACTTAAAATCTTTCTATTGAACACCTGTATACCAATTGTAACCCCTGAATTAAAAAAAAAATGAGTCATTTTCTCACAGAAAGTCCACCAGTTTCAATATCAAGGTAACTCATTTTGCACGTTTAAAGTACTACTGACTCACAAAAAGAAGTTTTCAATTTAAAAATGAATGTTGTTTTACAGTCATTCAAAGTATTGTGATAGTTTGTAGACAATATCAATTGTTTAAGTGATGCATTGACATGTTTGTATGATACATATAAAATTATGTTTAGATTCATATATTTCTTTAATTCATTAATATTTCAGGCATATGTAAAAAGCTGTACTCCCCAAAGCGGACATCCAAATGAAGGTAACTGCAGCATGCAATAGTCAATTGTTAACATTGTTTAAATGGAATTTTAAAATTTAAAACGGAAGCAAAATAATCGGATGTGAAGACTAGTTTTCATAAGAAGTTTACTCCTAAAATAATGATATACACATTGAATTGTCTAAGTAAAATTGGGTTCTCGAAACACCAATTCCAGTATTTCTGTATTTTGATTGGTTAGTACAATAGTCGTGCTCGATATTATTACTACCACAGGGCCTGGTATTAATTGATTTTTGATAATTGGTTTAATTGATTTTAAAAAAGATGCACGGGGAAACTGCATATGAAGTTATACTTTAAACTGCATTTCAATTGGCAACTGAATATGTAATACTTTTAAGTTGAGTTATTAAGCATTTGAGATGTTTATATGGGAAAAGTAAGTTAATAAAACAACTTCCATGTCCTATCTCATTTGTACATATTACGTTAACCATCTCTGAAGACAAGACAGCGACTTTTGGGCAGTATCTCCAGACATATCTTAATTCGTGAATTTCATGTATGTTCTTGTAAAAAAATAACATATACTCACAAGGTTGTAGGAATGTACAATATTATGCAGCTGTTATGTTTTTGTTATTTAGGTCCTAAGCAAGCATTGCAAACTGTGCCACCTAGAGAATCTCGTGCTTACTTTAAATACAAATATCTAGAAGAAGCGAAACCTCCATCTTACTGGACACATTTTAAGAGTTCAAAAACAATAAAGGAATGGAATACTACTGCCAAAGGTAATACAATTGTTCGGAAACAACCAGGTCTTCTTATTACAAAAGCTATTTCCAATGCGTTCACGAAAACTTCGAAAATGCCAGCTACAATAGTTTCAATAGAAAGAATAGAAAACATATCACTGTATGAAAATTATGTCCATGAATGTCAGCGGATGTTCCGAAAGGCTAGTGGTAACGGTGCTTGTATTCTATTGGCAAAAACAAAGGGTTCGCGCGGTGAAGCGGCATGCATGAAGCACATAGATGATGAAATGAAGAAACATCTCCATCCAGAAATAAATGAAGTTTATTTGTTTCATGGCACGAAAAGAAATCTGGTTGATATTATTGGACAGCAAGGGTTTGATGACAGACTGGCAAAAATGAATTTTGGAAGACTTCGACTTGGAAATGGTGTTTACTCTGCAGAGGAATCCCATGTTTCTAACGGCTACACAGGTATGTATGATGTGCTTCAAAGTATTGTCATTTGCGTCGGATCAGAAGCATTTATTAAAAACTTATTGCTCTGTGTGTATTATTTTAGAGTTATAAATATGGTGTAGACATATGTCCACCGTCGTAAATGGTATCGTAGTATAGTAATAGCTGCTGGAGGGTCCAGGGAGCCTGTGACGCTCTCCTGACGTTTTGTCACAAACATACTGCAATGCAAAAGAAAATTCAGTAATTTCTGGCAAAAAGCAAAAGTTGGTAAAAATCATCAATCAATAGCAATAAGTCCTATAAGGAGTCAAATAATATTTCGGTCTTGTTGACTTACTAGTAGATTTGTTTTTTCTGTTCATTTTTCCTTCATAATATTACTTTATATACTGTAGTCTCTAAGGACTTCATAAAAGACATAAGGAAAATTGTCATTCAAGGACTTCAAATAGGTGTACAACCTTTAATTCATGGCTCCATTTCTTGTTTTAATAAATTCAGCAATTCCCAGCATTAATAGCAATTTTGTCTTAAGTTTATATATATTTATTTCATGTCAAACAACACCTTATCCTTACTTGAGCTGGACAATTTAACAGATCGTTAATTGCCTATCAGAGCGCACTGAGTACCGGAAGTCTGATAGTAAAAAATAAGCCCTTCTGATAAAATAAATAGACATTTCCCATTTCCATTCTTCATTTCATAAAATATGCCTTCTGTTTCCATTTAATTATTTTGATTTTTTAAAGTAAACATTGAACAATATGTTCTTCCTGGTCGGATTCAAATGTTTTGTTTCATTTCATAAGGAGTACAATGCCGATGACGTATTTGTTAACCTTGTCTTGCGGATTACTTTCGTATTTACTAAAAGGTTTCTTAAGTTTCCTGCATTAAAATTTTTAAAAGTTTATTTTGAGTTTTGAACAAGAACTTGTCATAAACTCTTTTTAACATCACTACATCAAGTTTTGAATATAGTTAAGCATACGATACTTTAGAGAAAATGATTGAATACTTTCAAATCAGCGGGCTAAGCACGTTGAGTTTGCTGAGCATGCTAAGATCATACGTTATAATATTGACTTTCTCTATATGTTCGTTTGTAATTTAGTTTTTTTGTTTTCTGCTATTCGCGCACAAAGTTTAATGGAAATTCTTTTTTAGTCCACTGAATGAGTTTTTGTCTTTAAGTTTAATGTTTAACATTCGGTTGTTGTCTGTTTGACCATTTCTTTATTATTTTTTTTTTTATTTTGTGTTGCATTGCTTCTTCGGGTTAATGAAAGATGAACAGTCAGCTTAGATATCAAGTCATTTAATGCATTGCAGATATTTCTCTCCTTCAATAGCTAAGTTCATATTACTCACGGACAAAGAGACATTTGTGAAAAATAAAATAAAATGTCATTGCTGACTTCATTATTATTATATGAACGTGTATCAATCATTTATCTAATTAAGAATTGGTTTCGTATAAATTCAGATGGAAACGGCCAGTGTAAAATGTTCCTGATGAGAGTCTGTCTTGGTGACGTATACACAACACCACAAAATATAGAGAAACTGACCCGACCACCTTGTAAATCAGGATGTATAGGAGTATGTACCAGTCACCCGGATTTATATGATTCAGTGGTTGGAGAATGGCAAGGATATTGCAGAGAATTTACTGTGTATGACCGAGCTAAATGTTATCCGGAGTATATTATAACGTACACTATTCCATGAAACAAATTTTTGATATAGCTGAAAATATACAGGCAATATATTTTTGTTTATTTAAACTTATGATTATGCTTGCTTTTTGTATGGAAAAATTTATGAATTTAATTGATGGCATTTTCACTTATAACCCTCATTCCTATTTATAGTATGTTCGGATTCATTGCCAAGGATCATCTTCTGGCGTCTGTGTAGACCATTTCTTAGAACTAAACTGTGAAACCATTAAATAAACTGGAACCAATTTTGTTAAAGAAGAGAGCCCCCATCTTACGTTATTTTGTTATCCACAGTACCTACGACTGGGATACGAGCGGAATGGAAAATTAATGATACATTAAAGTGACAGTTGTTAACCGATGTTCAAATCTTTTAAATCTACTAAGAAGACACAAATCAAGGCTACAAACAAAAACTTAGACGAACATCAAAAGGACCGAGACCGGGTGCTTCGGTAAGCTAAGCGTCTCCTGCTGTGCATGCATCACTCGCCATGTGAATCCACATTTAGTCAAAATGTCCCTATCGGTAAAGTTTCAGATCTAAGACCGCCAAAACATGTCGCTAGTGAGTTGAGACATCGACACATCGTATTGATCAACCAATTCGATTGTAACCGTAAAACCTATGTAGAATCGATTTCAGTTGTTCTTCCTCATACCTCTACTGGGGTTTTTTTTTGTGTAAGGAGCACATCCTTGTTAATGATTGATTGATTGATTGTTGGTTGCTCAACGTCCAGTGCCAAATATTTCACGCATGTTCAGGACGAGAATAAAGTAACAATTAATACAATAGGTAGGTCCCGTAATAGAGGGAGAATAAAGTAAAAATTAATACAATAGGTAGGTCCCGTAATAGAGGTAGTCTGGAATGAAGATTGGGGAAATTTGGACTGCCACTGGATAATGAGGGTTTATTGGATAGAGACTAGAATTTTGCCTTGCAACAGGCCACCTACAGACCCTTCAAAGAGTTGTTGCAAGGGTTCTTAACGTGCAAAGAGCGTGGACCTCCCTTTACACGAGGCAACGGATTTGGTGTCTCCTTTCTAACCAGACGTGACTGAGTACTTGTATATCCCGCACAACCAAACGGACGCCCCATTTTCGCAAGAGTTTTACTGCCGATCGGACGAAGACCAAGAGTGACCATATTTATTTTCCCCAGTCACATTTGAGGGGACCTGTTAATCAAGTTCTTATATTGTGATCATGTACGAGCATAACGCATTTACTGATATATATAAACGCCATTCTATAGAGCAGAGGGTATGATACTGCTGAGAAATGGGAAGTTGACAACAGAAAAATATATAATGAAACATCGTTTTACCACAGCTAACTAAATAGAAAAAAGAAAAAAAAATTAAATGCGAGTCTTATTGCCATTGCTTTTATAGAAAATAAAAAAAAATGTTAAAAACAAAGCCATTAAAAATCTGTGAAAATACCGATGACAATTATGAGAATGAGTAATCTCAGTCCTTCTTAAACAAGAGGTTAAGAGATTTCAGCTGTTTTGAAAGGGAAGTTGCAGATCATGCTCTCCTACTTTCCAATAACAAGATAAATAAACTCATCATAGATACCAGGATTAAAATTGTTTATGCCAGACGCGCGTTTCGTCTACAAAAGACTCATCAGTGACGCTCGAATCAAAAAAGTTAAAAAGGCTAAATAAAGTGCGAAGTTTAAGTTATGAGCGAGACAAGTATTGGGATAATGTGTATAACCAATTGCATTTGTCGGTAGATTTAAAGACCGAAAAAAATGGTAACGGTAATGATCAATAGTTACTTTTTATAACCTAAATTTTTTGACACAACCTCAAGAGTGGGCACTTTCACAGTACAAAAACCTGGTTTTGATTTTCTAATATAACAGATCTCAGAACTTTTGAGCGAGATGTTTTTTTAAATTTTGCAGAACTCGTATATTAAGATGTTGGTGGGGACACTTTTCGGCGTTTGGGTATCGTGTAAATTGAACGATGAAATTGACCAGCTCACTATCATGAATCCTTAAGGAATACTCCATATACCATAGTGTATGTGATTTACTCTAGTTTAGTGTGAATTACTTGCTAACACATGCTTAATTTTGTCTTAAGACAACGTGATACCAATTTCAGGGAGAATAACAATTTTATATAGGCTTGAGTACATTTAGTTTTAGGTTGCAAGACACATGTTTACCTCAATGACAAAATTTAAATAATCATGCTGTTTGCAGGTAGTTCACACTTGATTTACAGTTAATCGGTACCATGTGCTTTTAATTTCACCAGTATTTATAAATAAAGGCAACAGTAGTATACCGCTGTTTAATAGTCATAATTCGATTAACAAAAAAACAAATCCGGATAACAAACTAAAACCGAGAGAAACACATCAACTATAAGAGGAAAACAACTGAAAAACAGAAACACTGAACTACAATGTACAACAAAAGCAAACGCCAACATACATAGAAACGGACTGTCTGATAACAACTGCCATATTGCTGACTTGGTACTGGACATTTTAAGAAAAAATGGTGGTTTGAACCTGGTTTTATGGCTAGCCAAACCTCCTGCTTATATGACAATGTTAAAAATACCACTAAAACGACAACACTACGTGACAGGAATACAGTACAAACAAACGCAAGAACACTCAGCACAGAGAAATACTTAAATAAATAATATAATAGTACATTACAACATGTAAACCGCAGAATAACAACGGACACCCCCCATGAATTTACGACAGCACAACAGGACACCACAAACGAAATATAAACCTGATTAAGATACAGTTTCAAAACCTTGACAATACAACAAGAAAATCTCTGTTAAACCACTAAGCCAATTAAAACTAAAACTTAGATAAACAGTTTAAAACAGGTTTTCCAAACAAAGGTTTTGTAGATTTCCGGCAACCCAGTAAAGTTTAATAAAATAAAATCTATGAATTGGCCAAGCATTTCAAATGACATCGCTAATTCATTTACCTAAATTATAAGCGGAAATATATTATAGAAAATAGTACAGGTTTTTAAAGACTTGTTCTAACATGGAAATCCCAAATTAAATTATTTTAGTCATTCCAAGCTCCTCTGTAATTTATTATATATTGTTACAGGTACATGACCTCAGTGTATATAAAAAAAACATAGGAAACGATACATGTCATATTTTTTTTTTAAGTATATTGATTTTAAATATGGTTTGATCAACTAAAATTGTATCTGGCATACCTATTTATTTAGAAAAGTGTTTAGTCATGTATTTCTTTATTTTACCTACCCAACGACCATGATCACTAAATTTTGAGTTGGTGTTTATCTTCTGCAAATTCAGGTGTATATCATCAATGATAAAAAATATATATATATATATATATATATATATATACTTGTATCTGTGCTGCTAGTAAATTTGTAACTATACTCGTTTTGACGCTATTAAATAAAATATTGTCATTCCTATCATGATTTCCTTGTTAGAGGGTTGCTGCTCACAAGGAAGCTATTAAACCAAGAGTTCCAAGTGGTGAAGTTGAAATCATCCCTTCGTAAATTTTACGGACACGAGTTGGTTGACCGTTACGGAATATCCGTTTGACAGATGATAGCGGATATGTTCCTAATGTCGTAACTACAATGCCGTCCCCTTTTCCCGAATGTGACCTACCGAATTAGACTTATTACCGGGTTTGTACTTACATGAGCAACACGACGGGTGCCACATGTGGATCAGGATCTGCTTACCCTTCCGGAGCACCTGAGATCACCCCAGTTTTTGGTGGGGTTCGTGTTGCTCAGTCTTTAGTTTTCTATGTTGTGTTTGTGTACGATTGATTGTCTGTTTGTCTTTTTCTTTTGAAGCCATGGCGTTGTCAGTTTATTTTCGACTTAGGAGTTTGAATGTCTCTTTAGTATCTTTCGCCTCTCTTTTAGCACTATTGATAAAAACATAAGTTATAAACCCTTTAAATACGTTCAAGTGGCTCAAAAGGAGATAAGATAAAAATAAGGAGATGTGGTATGATTGTCAACGAGACAACTACCAACCAAAATTCAAATAAAGTGAACAGTGAGAAAAACCCATACCGTATAGTCGGCTATAAAAGGCCCCGACATGAAAAATATGAAACAATTCTATAGAGAAAACTAACGGCCTAATTTATAACAAAACAATTTACGAAAAACAAATATAACAAACGTCAACCAACGACAACCACTGAACTACAGGCTCCTGACTTGGGACAGCCACATAAAGAATGTGGCGGGGTTAAATATGTTTGCGAGCGCTCAACCCTCCCCCTAACTTGGGACAGTGGTGTAACAGCACAACATAAGAACAAACTATAAAAATCAGTTGAAAAAGGCTTAACTCATCAGATCGATATAAAGAAAAACATCAAACAAAAACACAGACAGGACGTGGCAGGGTATATATCCATCCCTTATCCCTAACAACAAAAAAGACACTATGTACAGATCTGAGAGTACTCGCAGTTACTGACAGCTAGTTCAAAGCCAATGACAACTAATAAAAAAAATCATGTTTCTTAGACTAAAATATCAATCAGTACAGATCCAACATCCAATGGATTTATTGAAAAGACGTCATTAACAGTCAGAGACATGATCTTGTGCAATGCCAGAATAGAGGTATCGACAGATTGTAGTACCGTGAAAGTACATATGTGTAATATTTAGTATGGTTTTATTTACTGATAACAAAATCAATATTTATACCAATAAAACAATATTCAAAGATTTAACTACAGTGTTGAATAGGTAAACTTTTAGAATAAGTTGATTTGAAGTATTTATAAGTTTACCCGGATCGTATCTAAATATCCGGGCTCGGTTAACAACATCACCGTAAAATTTAGGATGTGCTATTCCGTTTGAAATAAGTTTTCTACAGGTACAGACAAAATGCAAACCAAATCTTTGTATCTATGGAAGAATTTAGTAAAGATTTTAAGTAATTTAAAGTAACGAAATCACTGGCTTAATAATTTGCCAGTAATACATAGATTACGCTCATTGAAATCCAAAACGTCACCACAAACACGGGCATAACGAAGAAGTTGAGACATATAAACACCGTAG